AAGTAATGATAGTTCGTTGAATAATCTTGATTTTGACTCTTTTCTCTAAAATGTTAAAGGTAAATAAAATTTTATTAATCAATTGGAAATTATTAACCACTAATTACTATTAACGATATTAATTAATAAACATTAGATTCTAGTAACAATAGTAAAATAAAGATGCGATGAATGACTAATTTAATCTCCATTATAAATTTATTATTATAATTTTATTTCATCTGTATTTTATTTCTTATCTTGTAACAATATAATAAACTTTTTACAATTTTTGATTCTTGTTAAATGGTGATATTGCAAGGTATCACTTTGGAACACACTTAATGGTACCAGATAACTGTAAATAAATAAAGATGGCCCTTTTGCAATGCTATAAGGTTCCTTTTATTCACTTATGATCGATCTGTTTCAGTTGTTTGCCCTTGTTTACATTTATTAACCGATTTCAAACTCTACTTACAAAACAACTTAAGTAGTTTGTTTAACAGCCTTAAATTTACGACTACAATGATACTACTTCATTAACACCCACTAGTTAACCAACATTAGTTCAAACCTTTGCTTACCCAATAAAGCAAATTACGTTACTAATCGCTGTTAGTACTCGCTAGTTAATCAACGTTAGTCCTAACCTTTGCTTACTCACTAAAGCAAATAAACACGATTTTTTACTAAAGCTCTACAATTGTTACCTTTTACCAAGGCATTAACTACACTTGTTGCTTTTATCAAAATGCTTTAAACAAAGAAAATAAAGACAATGTTTTTGTTTTTATTTTTTATTTTTAGAAGTTTATTAACGATTGATTTTGTTTAATGAAAATAATGATTCTATCAGAGTATTATTTTATTAGAATGTTAATTATCTTCTAAGAGGTCCCGAATTTATGCTTTTATGCTTTTTCAAGCGAAGATCAAAAGTTATCCTCGATGAAAGTTTCATTGATCATTACAATAAGGATAAAAACAACGATGCAAAGTAACTTAATCAATCAATATTGACATTGTAAAGACTTCTATAATTATTTACACAGTAATAATTACAAAAGGCTTTTGCGTAAATTTCATTTGATACACTAAGTTAGTTTACCTTGGAACATGAGGTACCGAATCATGTATCACGTTATTAATATTAATATAAAAAATGTTCGAGTTAGTAGTAAATGAATGTATTTGTATTCAGCAAAACCTTAGCTCCTTGTGAGAGATTGGGTACACGAAAAAAATATTAAAAAAAAGACCTGCAAAGCTTACACTGCTTTTATCGACAAAATCGAAACCAACTTCGAAGGCATCGCTGTCGAGCAACCTTTGCTCTTGGAATATATATTTACTGTATAAGTTTTTTTTACGAGCTTTTATATTTTATTAGCCTTTAAAGCAATTTTACTTGAGTTATTTTTGACTTAATGGCAGCGAATTTGACGTAATAGTTTTACAACTTTGGCAACATTTCGTCAAAAAATATTAATGTCCAGCCACTTCGTTGTAATAAGATTATATTGTATTGGATAAAACATAAATGACACATTCAAAAGAACCAGCTTAGGAAACAAAGAAATCACTTGCAAAACTTAAAGCATACCATTTCCAAATATGTCAACTGAAAGAGCTTCAAAAAAACATGCATGGTCTGAATATGATGATAGAAAAGCCTACACCACCTATTTTTGACGATACTGGCGATGGCATTGGAGCATACAAAAAACGTGCTTGATAAACTTCTTGATAATAAAGAAAAATCTGATTCATTAAATCTTCAAGTCAAAAGTAAAGCTTCGCAGTTGAATATATCATTGAGGTAAACGAAAAAGACACCCATCAGATTCAAAATAACGGCGAAAACTGTACATCAGATCCAAATGGTAATATCATAAACTATTTTTTATGAAAGTTTTAAATTTAAAATCTTGTTTATGAATAATTAGTGAATCTAGGATAATTCGGATTATTTATCTATTGTTATTATTATTCGAGTTATCCGTTATCCGTTATCCTATTACTATTTAATAGCTGATAGGATATTAATATCCGTGTCTTAAATTTTCCAAATGGTTATCCTATACGTATTATTATTATCAATATATAGGAAAAGCTCTACTTATGGATTAAATTCAATATATTGAATTTTTTTTATCAATATCAATTAATTATCTGATAATTGTGATTTGTCTGGTTGTTGTCCAAAATATAAATTGATTTTTCCATTGTCAACAAGGAGTTTTTATGTGATACAGGTGGAAGTGGAGGAATCGCCGTGCTTCTTCTGTTGATATTTCTATTTCATAAATACTAATAAATTCAAATGCGATTAAATAATTTAAATTATTAATTAAATTTGTGTATTATTCATATCTTCTTCTTGAAGTTGTTTAAAAAAGATTCTGCACTTGTTATTTCATTATGGTTTGTATTGGGCAAAATAAAAGTCTTCCTCCAACAGTTTCATTTGTGACAAGAACCACACCTTGGCTGTATGTTTAAAAAAGATATTAACAAACAATTTGTATTTTCATTAATTATAATTTGTCAAAGAAAGAAACTAGCCTTGTTTTCGTTATATTTTAAAGAAAGAAGCAATTATAATAATAATTAATACTTTTAAGAGTTCGGCACCATTTATATTATGATTTTCCAAGGCAGTTTGTTATACAAAATATTGAATTTTACAAAGTTCATTATATATTAGTTGATAGAATGGGTCTCTAGTTTTAAAAACATTATTTGTCGATTACATTTAAATATGTATCAGTCAATATTAGTTCGTGAGCTCCTATTATAATTGATATCCGCATATTAGGTCTGTTCTCCAGTTTGATATCATCGAATATTGTGTAGCCCCTATAGATGGGCGTCTAATTGTTTTCAGGCTTGTCAAAAATGTCTAAAGTCTAAATATAGGTTTAGTCATGATTGTCAAAATATTAAGACATGGTCTAAATGGCAAAATTATTTAGACATGTCAAAACATTAAGACATGGCAAAATTATTTAGACATGTCAAAACATTAAGACATGGCAAAATTATTTAGACATGGCAAAACATTAAGACATGGCAAAATTGTTTAGACATGGCAAAACTGTTTAGACATGGCAAAACATTAAGACATGGCAAAACTATTTAGACATGTCAAAATATTAAGATGTTGCAAAATTTCATTTATTTATTAACAAATACTAATATCAAATATCAAGTATGCTTGATGGATCAAAATCTAAATCATCTTCTTCAATTATTTCCTGTTCATCAATAAATTGGTTTACACTACTATTAATCTCGGAATTAAATAAATTTATATCAATATTAATATAGTCTTCAATTAATAATCTTGTTTGGTTGTTAATTGCAGCATCTTCATTACTTTCAACATCATCAACTTCGATTTCTTCATTATTTTCATCATTTCCAATCTCAATTTCTTCATTATCTTCATTTTCTAATAATTTTTCAGCTTCACTAATCTTAGAATATATTTCTTCGTCTAAAATATTCATCCCAAAATACTCAAACCCTTTTTTTTCATTTGAAATATAATAATTATGGATGATTGCCATATGTTTAACTCTATTGATATCTAGATTATTTCTTCGTTGATTGTAGAACCATGATAAAATTGAAAAAACACGCTCGCACCCTGCAGAATGAGGTGTAATTGCATATAATTTTAATGCTACTTCTTGTAAATAACCACCTGATTTTGATAGTAAATTCCACCATGTATATGATGAAATTGCATTATCATATGGAAGGTCATAGGGTGGTTTTTTTTCATGATATAAATGTATTTGACTTACAAGCCTTGTTGAAGTTTGTTTTCCATGACCCATATCTGCCCACAATTCAATTGCAAACAACATCAATTCACGTATTTTATCATGATTTAAATATTTATCTAAAAGATTAAATATTATTAGCCAATTTTTATTTTATTTTTATTAATAAGAATAAAAGGAAAATAAATTTACCCCTATATTTTGGATGTAAAAAATATCCCAATATAAAAAAGTTTAGAATTAAATTGTCCCCATCTCTTATTAAAAATGTCAATGCAATAATTTTTAAAATTTGGATCTACTGTAGCCGATAAATGTTTAATTTGTGATGCTAAACTTGCTATTTGAATAAAGCAGTCAGCAATTGTAGTATTTTTAGATTCCAAGTATTGGATAGCGTCTTTTAATGGTTTAAGAACAAATGATAAAGATCTAACTTGATTAAAAAAACTAAACTCATTGATAGTATTTTTAACTGAAGAAGAAATATTATTATTTTCACTTGCTAACTAAATATGAATAATATATAATATATTAGAATAAGAAGAAAATATTGTATCATATGAATGATGTAAAATAACATAATTTACCTCCAGGAGAATATTACCAAGTCTTGCAACTGAATCTATACAATCCCAAATTGTGCTCCATCTTGTCTTTGTTGATGTCTTTAATCCACCCCCAACAACATTATATCTTTTAATTTTTTCTTCTAGTAAACTTGTTGATAATGGAGATTTGCCAAAATATGTAACAATTGACTGACATTTGGAAATCAAATCTTTTGCAAATGAATGTTTACACAAATCTTTAGTCATTAAATTCAGATGGTGAGCAATGCACTGAATACTAAAAATGTGCTTGTATTGATTATGGATGATTTTTCTAGCCTTTGTTACATCTGAACCACCATCGGTGACAATTGCCGAGAACTTCTCAGGACCAAATTTTGTCAAGATTAATCTAATTTCTTCAGCCAAAAGTTCACCAGTATGTCGCTCTTTTGAAAGATCTTTAATATCAACAATATATTCTTTTCTATCAGGTGTAATAACTACAAAATTGTAAATTCCTTGATTTCTTTTATTAGTCCAACCATCAAGTCCAAGCGTCAAATCTTTTGAGTTACGAAGTTCATTTTCTACAGCTACAACAATTGTTGCCAATTCAGAATTCAACATTTGTTTAGACAAAGTCTTTCTTGTAGGAGGGTCATAAGATGCATGTAATTGTTTCGTAAGCTCAATAAAAAATGGGCTCTCCACAATAGAAAATGGTACCCCACAACAGATAAAAAATCTAAGTAATGCAGCATCAATTTTCTTTTTTCTTTCTGGAATTAGCACAGAAGAATCATGATATTGTGTTAATTTACGTTGATTTGACTCTATTTTTCTTTTCTTATCACTTGAATCACAATCTTTGTTTGATATAACTCTTAAATAATGTTCTTTTAGTGAAGAAGGAACTTGAATACATGTAGTTGCTAAATGAGACTCTAATTCATTTGGAGTACCTCTTGGATAATATTTATTACAAAATAAACATGTAGCTGTATGCTTTCCTTTACTTTTTCCTTCGCCTTTTGTAAAGTGATTCCATACAGAAGATCCAGGCCTTCCAATGGATTTATTATCACTAATATTTAGATTATTGTTGATGTTATTATACATACTACTGCTACTATAGTTGCTATTAACATCACTATTATCTACATCATTGACAACAATACTATTATTATCAATCAAGTTCCTATTCATTATCAATTACGTTTTTTTATAATAATATTAACCCAGTTACTACTATTACTACTGCTTCCACTATCACTGCTATTAATATTTGTATAACTATAATTATTGCTATTGCTATTACTATTAATATTAATTTATAATTGCTACTGCTATTATTATACTGCTATTATTATTAAACAATTTATTAAACAATTATTATTTTGTAATTGCTACTACTTATTATTATTTTTGTAATTACTACTGCTTATTATTATTAAATGATTATTATTTTTATAATTACTACTGCTTATTATTATTAAACAATTATTATTTTTATAATTACTACTGCTTATTATTATTATTAGACAATTATAATTTTTACTACTGCTTGCTTATTATAATTACTACTGCTTATTATAATTACTACTGCTTATTATAATTACTACTGCTTATTATTATTAAACAATTATTATTTTTACTACTGCTTATTATTTTTACTACTGCTTATTATAATTACTACTGCTTATTATAATTACTACTGCTTATTATTATTAAAACAATTATTATTTTTATAATTACTACTGCTTATTATTAAACAATTATTATTTTTACTACTGCTTATTATTATTAAACAATTGTTTATAATTTTATTAATGCTTATTTTATCAAAAAATTATTATTTTATTGTTATTAGAATTAATAGTAGATTGTACTCGCTTATTCTAGTGTGTGAATAGGTAGGATGTTAATAGATACAGTTACTTGTGTCGTGGTGAGTTATAATTTACATTTTTTTTTTTCATGGGAAAATTTATGGGAAAAAAATCAAAAACGATCAATATCTAAATTATTTAAACATGTCAAAATGATTAGACATTTAGACATGTCAGAATAATTTAGACATGTCAAAACAATTGGACATTTAGACACATCTGAATAATTTAGACATGTCAAAACAATTAGACATTTAGACGTATCAGAATAATTTAGACATGTCAAAACAATTAGACATTTAGACATATCAGAATAATTTGGACATGTCAAAACAATTAGACATTTAGACATATCAGAATAATTTGGACATGTCAAAACGATTAGACATTTAGACATATCAGAATAATTTGGACATGTCAAAACAATTAGACATTTAGACATATCAGAATAATTTGG